AAAGGGTTCTATACCGTTCAACATATCCGCACCAAATTTGGCACGAATACTCTTTGACATCCTAGAAAAATTCTATAATGGTCCCATCTTCAACCACCCCTAAAGACCCTCCAACATCTTCTAAAGTCCCTAGCTTAAAGGCTTTAGGAATGGTTGGCACCCCTCTTAGCTTAAGCCCAAGCAATTTTTTTTTGTGTTTTGCAGTTTTATTATTGTAAATAAACATACATTTTAGTTAAAAAAGACCGTTATTTTTTACCTCTCCCTCCCAACCCGACCTCACCAATCCCCCCAAAAGTCCAAACAAAAACAAACACACGCAACTAGTATTTACATAAAATAATATTTTTTTTTTTTTTGTTTGTTTACATCGATATATTTCAGTTATAAACTTAAAAAAAAAATACAAAATAATAGATAAAATTTACAAAATTTTATTCCCGAAAAATAAAAATACACATGTTCATTTGACATTCGATTTTAAATAATGTGCAAATGACAAGAAGATAATGTAAAGAGGCACGACCTTATTTCTTATAAAGTATTTGATGATTTAATGAAGCGATGCTTAAGTACAGAATGCAAGTTTATTATCTCCCACGAAAGATGTATGATACGTAAGAAACGAGCAAAATAAATAGAGCACTAGCCGGTTTGACACTATCACCTACAGATGTCCTGCTGCTCTGTGTTGGAGACAGACTATATATGACTGTACGAGGGATCCAAGTACTTGATGTAGTTGTAGCGTGATACCTGCTGGCTGTCACTTTATTGGTAGATGTTTGAGATAATAAATTCTCCGGATCCGCTTTTGGGCATCTGTAATGCAATCTACAGGAAAACAACACTTCACTCTTAGATTGTGTCTTATTAAATTGATGATTAAGGCGTTACACTAGTTAAATCGAAGGAGGTTTTTTTTATATTATTTTATAAAATTTAAAGAGTATACTCACGGATAAAATGCATTCCCACAGTGAGATATTAGATAAGTCATTGAATGGGCCATTAATTCGTGTGCTTGCTTACCACACTGATGCAGTAAAGGATCGTTCACGCACTGTTGAAAATGACTAAATGTGCTATAAAAAATTAATTTTTTTACTATAAAAACTATAAACACAGATGTATTTCTGTATTTAAAAAAAAAAAAACGTGTAATTTACCAACAAATGTGATTTTTTTCGGCTCTTGAATTAGTAACCTGTTCGACCATTCGACGATAGTAAGATCCACAATTAGCAGCTGCCACCCTTTTGAAGCAAACTGCGTGATCTAGATAATCTATAAATTACATTTCACATTTAATTAACTTTACATAAAATTAACGTTTAGTATCTAATTACAATTTACCTCTCTGATACTTATTAGAACTGCATATAGCGTGAACTGTGCGAACGGTATCGCCGACCGCAGCATTGAATTTCGACTTAATTAATCGATTAGTGCACTCGCTCATATAAGTTCTAACACAATCGATGAATCGGCTCCATAATCTAAATAAAAATTACACAAATTAACTTAGCCTACACGATGAGCCTTCGTATATTTACTCGATACCCTTACTTGCACATGTCTTCCACGTCTCTGATGGCCGTAGGGAACATGTATCTGAGGTCGTATAAGAATGGCTTAACCATCCTCTTACAGCTGTACAGTGCTTCCTTACAGCTTCCATTAGCCGAGGATATTATAAATATAACTATAAAAAAAAAAAACACTTCATATTTAAGATAATGTTACACCTATTGAAACTTGGAAATTTCTAATTATGGTCTCTTACCTTGTACTAAATGCCAGGCGATCCTAACCAAACTCATGTTTGATATAGCATATCATTTCTGCCTCTTTCTATCAGGATATCCGAATTTTAGTGCGTGCACTGGCCATTAGGTCACCAGCCTCTGTTTCCGTTCATACAAGCGGATATGACGCTAGGTTTAAAGTACTAGCCCACTGACTTAGTGCATTTCAATGGTTAACAAGAGTGATGCAAGGCACAATGTAAAATAAGCTTAATTTCACCACTAAATTTACAAAAAAGAGGAGGGTATATTTCTATGAACAGGAAAATCGTGAGAAAGAGAAATTACGTTCGCTATTTAGAAACTATGAAAACTTAAATATTTGCCATTGCAACATCCTTTGAACAGTGAGCCAGTTGAGCCACTCGTAATGTATGAAGGAGAACTAACAAATATGGATCCAAAATGTCCGTTTAACTCACAGAAAGCCTTTCGTGGATTCAAAATATCCATTTTATTCAGAGAAACTGGTTTAAAACCGTTTAGATTATAGATTCCAACTCTTCGGAGTACCCAAATCTGAAGTTTTGTGAAGTACGAAGGTTCTAAACTTCATCATCATAAAATTAGTTTTAAGTGTTACTGATAATTAATGAGTTTGCAACACTGGACAACAGATTATTGCCCGAGGAAGAATGTCAATGACATACTCGAACGCTTCAAAACAGAATATAATAGGAAGTAACCGCCATTGCTCAACCAGAAATCCTATTGATCACTCGTCCAATTAACTTTATAAGTGTTAATATGTACGTTTATAACTTAGAAAAAAAAATATTAAAAAAATTATTTTTCATACGAGAAACACTCGATATAAAGAGAAAAAAACGAGGTTATCATCTTTAGTGCCAGAACTGGATCACATTTTAGTTATTGTTTGNGACCTCACCAATCCCCCCCAAAAGTCCAAACAAAAACAAACACACGCAACTAGTATTTACATAAAATAATATTTTTTTTTTTTGTTTGTTTACATCGATATATTTCAGTTATAAACTTAAAAAAAAAATACAAAATAATAGATAAAATTTACAAAATTTTATTCCCGAAAAATAAAAATACACATGTTCATTTGACATTCGATTTTAAATAATGTGCAAATGACAAGAAGATAATGTAAAGAGGCACGACCTTATTTCTTATAAAGTATTTGATGATTTAATGAAGCGATGCTTAAGTACAGAATGCAAGTTTATTATCTCCCACGAAAGATGTATGATACGTAAGAAACGAGCAAAATAAATAGAGCACTAGCCGGTTTGACACTATCACCTACAGATGTCCTGCTGCTCTGTGTTGGAGACAGACTATATATGACTGTACGAGGGATCCAAGTACTTGATGTAGTTGTAGCGTGATACCTGCTGGCTGTCACTTTATTGGTAGATGTTTGAGATAATAAATTCTCCGGATCCGCTTTTGGGCATCTGTAATGCAATCTACAGGAAAACAACACTTCACTCTTAGATTGTGTCTTATTAAATTGATGATTAAGGCGTTACACTAGTTAAATCGAAGGAGGTTTTTTTTATATTATTTTATAAAATTTAAAGAGTATACTCACGGATAAAATGCATTCCCACAGTGAGATATTAGATAAGTCATTGAATGGGCCATTAATTCGTGTGCTTGCTTACCACACTGATGCAGTAAAGGATCGTTCACGCACTGTTGAAAATGACTAAATGTGCTATAAAAAATTAATTTTTTTACTATAAAAACTATAAACACAGATGTATTTCTGTATTTAAAAAAAAAAAAACGTGTAATTTACCAACAAATGTGATTTTTTTCGGCTCTTGAATTAGTAACCTGTTCGACCATTCGACGATAGTAAGATCCACAATTAGCAGCTGCCACCCTTTTGAAGCAAACTGCGTGATCTAGATAATCTATAAATTACATTTCACATTTAATTAACTTTACATAAAATTAACGTTTAGTATCTAATTACAATTTACCTCTCTGATACTTATTAGAACTGCATATAGCGTGAACTGTGCGAACGGTATCGCCGACCGCAGCATTGAATTTCGACTTAATTAATCGATTAGTGCACTCGCTCATATAAGTTCTAACACAATCGATGAATCGGCTCCATAATCTAAATAAAAATTACACAAATTAACTTAGCCTACACGATGAGCCTTCGTATATTTACTCGATACCCTTACTTGCACATGTCTTCCACGTCTCTGATGGCCGTAGGGAACATGTATCTGAGGTCGTATAAGAATGGCTTAACCATCCTCTTACAGCTGTACAGTGCTTCCTTACAGCTTCCATTAGCCGAGGATATTATAAATATAACTATAAAAAAAAAAAACACTTCATATTTAAGATAATGTTACACCTATTGAAACTTGGAAATTTCTAATTATGGTCTCTTACCTTGTACTAAATGCCAGGCGATCCTAACCAAACTCATGTTTGATATAGCATATCATTTCTGCCTCTTTCTATCAGGATATCCGAATTTTAGTGCGTGCACTGGCCATTAGGTCACCAGCCTCTGTTTCCGTTCATACAAGCGGATATGACGCTAGGTTTAAAGTACTAGCCCACTGACTTAGTGCATTTCAATGGTTAACAAGAGTGATGCAAGGCACAATGTAAAATAAGCTTAATTTCACCACTAAATTTACAAAAAAGAGGAGGGTATATTTCTATGAACAGGAAAATCGTGAGAAAGAGAAATTACGTTCGCTATTTAGAAACTATGAAAACTTAAATATTTGCCATTGCAACATCCTTTGAACAGTGAGCCAGTTGAGCCACTCGTAATGTATGAAGGAGAACTAACAAATATGGATCCAAAATGTCCGTTTAACTCACAGAAAGCCTTTCGTGGATTCAAAATATCCATTTTATTCAGAGAAACTGGTTTAAAACCGTTTAGATTATAGATTCCAACTCTTCGGAGTACCCAAATCTGAAGTTTTGTGAAGTACGAAGGTTCTAAACTTCATCATCATAAAATTAGTTTTAAGTGTTACTGATAATTAATGAGTTTGCAACACTGGACAACAGATTATTGCCCGAGGAAGAATGTCAATGACATACTCGAACGCTTCAAAACAGAATATAATAGGAAGTAACCGCCATTGCTCAACCAGAAATCCTATTGATCACTCGTCCAATTAACTTTATAAGTGTTAATATGTACGTTTATAACTTAGAAAAAAAATATATTAAAAAAATTATTTTTCATACGAGAAACACTCGATATAAAGAGAAAAAAACGAGGTTATCATCTTTAGTGCCAGAACTGGATCACATTTTAGTTATTGTTTGGATCACGACATCCTGCAACACGCTGTATCTGTTCCCTTGAACTGTTTCAAATCACGAAAAGATATCGATTATATAAATTAATTTAAATAGTTTAGTTTAAAATAGTTTTTATTAACTTTTTACATAAAAAATATATCACACAAGTCAGTGTCTCACGCACACTTCCATCACAGTTATCATCCCAACGATTAAACTGAGTAATGACGTTAGAGCAGAACAAGACGAACACATGTCGAGTTCATAATTAATACATTTGTAATTAAGATCCCTGTTTAGGCGCTGTAAAGCATTGTCGATTAATTCTCGAGATTCGGATCTACAGTTTGTAGTTGCGACGTCGTCGATACAGAAGACGTACTTCTTAAAGGCACTGTAAACAAAATGATAATTGATGTACGACGTACAGAAAAATATATTGTTAAATATATTTTTAGACATAGAACACCTAAACTTCTACCTAAGATCCGAGTTTTTAAGGATTTTAGACAAGGTTTTCGTCGAGTACTCGAGATCCAGTTATCACAGGAGGTGTGCCACCTGTGCGTTGGCACAGGGCTCCTCTTCTCTTAGAGGGGTGTAAAGATGTCTTGTTTTGGTTCTAGTCGTCTTTTTCTGTGGGCAAAGAGGGCAATTTTCTGGAGCCACCTACTATCAGGGAATCCGAAACCGATCTTTTATAAACTTAAATTTTAGTAAGATCATCGAAATTAAAATTTGGGACCCTAAATTGACGGTGTGGCGCAGGAGCAAGGTGTACTGTCACAGCGCAGAGGTCGCGTAAAAAAGAACGAACGAGAATTCTCCCGAAGAAAAATGTTTGAATACTGTACACGGGGAACCCTAATTCAAATTTTCCCGGGTCCCATGAAGCTATAACGCTCCACCGTGTCTTACAAAACTCCCGGTAGTAGCTAGGATCCAACGTTGTACAATATCGTGTGATATAAATGAGGCTTTACAAGTCCACGCTTGATTAAAATCTCGAACTTTTACAGACCTCATAGAGGAAATTTTACATGTAAAAGAGGCCTCACACGTTTCTAGCAACCCAAAACCCCTGCCGAATTTTACATCTAGTCCCTACTTACCAGCAAGCAGTGGCAAAGATATCTTCACTCTCAATCACATTTTCATTCTCGTCGTAATTTCTTCTGCACGCGGAAAGCTTTTCTCTATTCCTAATCAAGCACCTCGCACCCTTTATGGACCCTAAATATTTAAATCAGTAAACTAATTTATAATGAAAAGAAAAAACTCTTAAAACACTTACGAATCATCAATTGATCGTTTCTATTATTAAAATACGTATCCTCTTCAGAACACATCCAACTGAACTCATCCGCTTTATCTAACAGATAAGTGCTTAAGTATATGTTGTATTTCTCTGTACATTTTTCATCTAGTATCCTCTCGGCACATCTTTTGAACTGAAAATAATGCCTACAAAAAAAAGGGTATGTCACTGATATATACATCTTTCAACTTGTTATATTTTATAGTCCTCACCCGCAGCTGTACTCGTCGATCTTCTTGTAATCGTTATGCTTGAAGTAATCCTCCTTACAAGTTTCCATCTCATCACTCATATAACATTTTCGATCCCTCCAGTTCTCTTTAAGTGTATACATTTAAAAAAATATTATTTAAATAATAAAACATGTTTAAGACGTATTCGTGAATAGCAGTGCAGTCAAACCTCTGAACAACGGCCACTGACGTTAACATAAAAAATGGCCGCCGTATGGAAATTATTTAGTATGCATTTTTGCATTCCGTATAAAATGTCCGTTGTTTAGAGGTGGCCGTCATTGGAGGTTCTATTGTAATTTCTCATGTTTAAGACGTATTCGTGAATAGCAGTGCAGTCAAACCTCTGAACAACGGCCACTGACGTTAACATAAAAAATGGCCGCCGTTTGGAAATTATTCTGTATGTGTTCCTGATAATTGTCCGCTGTTTAGAGGTGGTCTTTGTTGGAGGTTAGACCGTAATTTATGTATAAGATCTGACTAATTATTACTTCTGAGAAAAGACTTCTATTGTAATTTAAAAAAAAAAAAAAAAAAA